AGCTTATTTATTCAGCGTTCAGATGATGTATAAATCTCAATTTCAAAAAACTGACCCTTATGACTGGTTTTGTGGTCCAGGTCACATTTAGATTTACGAGCAGTACTAGTGGCATTAGTTAAGCACTGATTCAAGATTTAATATTTTATTCATCACATACAGTTATATACAGAATACACTTGCTGTGAAATGCAAACATTAAATTTCATAGGCATAAGCATAGCTAATACACCACTGATTCAAAATAACAAACAACACTCAATTAGTGCTAATCAATATTAACTAACAATATTAATTATCCTCTCTTATAAAATAACAAACTCAATGAAGACGCAGAACTTTATTTATTAACTTTTTTTATTATATTTTGGAATATTATTATATTCCAAAATATTATTTAGTATTTATTTAATATTATATTATTATTTAATATTATATTTTAGAAAATATATTTATTATATTATATTTTGAACAGCGTTTTTTTTTTTTTAAATTTTTTTAAGGAAGCAAGCATCTGAAAATTCAGGTGATTAAATAATTATCTGTGATTAATCTACTGTCATTTTTTAAAGCAGAATGAAACTGTTAAAATGACGAATGCATTATTAAACGTGTTAAAAATAATGATTTAATGTTACGTTTAATTTATGTTGACAGCTAAAATATCAATTTATTTTTGCTACCAGCAACAAAAATAGTTTCAAAATAAGTCATAGCAGAGTTTGTCTTTATTCAAATGGTATACCTTAACGTGTTGAATTGACCTGAATACAATATAACTGCATTGAAACTGGTTTCTACCTGGTGCTTCTCCATTGACTGAGCTCTTATTTTGGATAGCACTGCTGTTGGTCCGCTGGGCCTCGTCTGTTACCACAGCACTGCCATCAGGGTTAGAGTAAAACAAGAGCAAGGGCTGGAAGTGACCTTTGATGCATTTAGTGACCACATCCTTCCATCTGGATCCCACCTTAAAAAAAAAATAGTTCTTTAGCATACAGAGAGCAGTTACCTGAAGTGTTAGATTATTATTAGACGTGAAGGCTTGCATGCTTCGGAGGTAAGAGTACGCAGGCTGTACTACAAAAGTCTCTCCAGGCAAACAGATGTAACCTTTTTAATTAACAGACCGAAGAGAAAAGCAGTAAAAGTCAGCAAGCAGGATGAGGATGCATTAAAGAAACACAATTATCTGAACAGTCAAAAAAGAGCAGGCAAGACTGTAAAGGAGATGAATTAAGACACGCTTAATCAACAAAACAGCTGTTATGAAGTACGTTCTCTTACACTGCATACTGGATTGGCTCTCTATACTGTATGTTAGCACACACACATCTACTCTATACTGTATGTTAGCACACACACATCTACTCCATACTGTTTGTTAGCACACACACATCTACTGTAGTGCACATATTGTGTGCGAGGGTGATTTATCTTGGCGGTGGAGACGGGCAGCACTAGCCCAGTGAGAGCTGAAGTGCACACGCAAGCACAAGCCGCACACTACTGATAGATTGATGAAGAGATGCACCACTACACTGCATCGCCACATATTTCACACTCGCTGGCTGCCCATCAAAATCCTTTGATTGGTGGCATTGTAATTTTAGTATAATTGAGATGCCATTACAGTTTTTATTAATTAGTTTTATTTTAATATTTTTTAATTTGTTAAAATTTTAGTTTAGTGCAATTTACAAGTGCAAATGTCTAACGATTTGTAAATAAAGATGCATTTAATTGAGAAGTGAAATGGCATAAGTTTTGCTTTCTGTGAAATTGATCAAAATAAAGTGAGTTTATGAATAAAAAGAACAAATATCCACCAATGGACTTAGCAAAACAACGTATTTCAAAGAGAAATGTTTTCAAACCCTAATTACAGATATTTGTTGTTTTTTAAACTCACTTAATTTTGTTCAGTTTCTCAAAAAACAAGACTTGATATCTTCATTTTGCATCTCAAGTAAATTGATCTCGATTTAAAGATGTTTAGATATTTGTATTGGAAAACAAGACAAAAATACTGAGGAAGGCATTCATTTTTAGCAATGCATGTAAGATTTGAAAACACAATATCATGTTTTTTTACAATCTATTTTTGCTAAAAAATTAAACTATATTTGGTTTAACTTTGTCAAAAAAAAATTAGTGTTTCAAAATCAAGAGAAAAATAAAGATTTGATGAAAAAACGCACTAGAAACCCTTTGTGTGAATGCGAGAATGAAGGAAGCAGTTAAGTTAAGTTAAAGTTAAGAGTTAAGTTAAGTTACAGGAAATAAAAACGTGATCAGTTAAAATGGTAAAAATGTTTTGTTATGTAAATGTGCAGATGGAGGGAATGTTTGTTTAATAAGGCACATGACCAGGACTGCTGGGTAGTCGTTAGCATTATGAATAGTAATTGTGTAAATATATAGACAGAAGGACTTAAAAGGCACATGTAAGAATTTTTTATTAAAATATCCAAAAAACACTAGAACAGTGTTATATATTTTGCTGACTTGTGTACTCACATTATCCCAAATGTTTCGAAGAATGTTTAAATCCAGAGAAATAAGCAATTTGAACTAGTTACACGGACCGTGTCCATAGTGTCATTGTGTCGCCTGCCAATGACGTCATAACCCCTCGATTTCCGGTTTTGTTTTGTAGTAAACATGGAAATACCAAAGACGCGTTAATATTTTGTGCATTTTAATTTCAGCCTCACCCTGCTTCATTCTACTACGTTAATAAATCATTAGCTCATCCATGAACATGATTTCTGCCCGAGTCCCGTCGGATTGCGTCGGCTGTGGGGATGAAGACGACAACTCCCATGATTCCACACTTCATCAAACTATGCCTTTGTCTCTTTGTTTATTTTGAATAAGCGCCCTCTAACGGCGAAAATTACATATTGTGCCTTTAAGCCCTAACAGACAAGTGTAGTCTCACCTCTTTGACATTGGCGTCATCAAAGAAAACCCATTTAGATGATTTGATGTGGTAGGCGAAGGCACAGTAATGTCTGCTGGAGTAACAGATCATTCCCACCAATAGCAGCTCGCTCTTCTTTGCACGCTCGTCTGTGACGCGATAAAAGAGCTGCAAACACACACCCAAATGCATTTATTTAGACAACGGTAACAAAAATCATACAGCACAATGTTCTTCTAATATTGAAGGTTCAAGGTAGTGATGCACCAAAATGTTGGTAACCAAAAATA